TTTGGGGTTTAAAACCCTACACCCTAAACCGAAGCACTGGAAAACTGCTGGCCTCTTGCCAAGACCTGTTGACCCGAATCTTTAACCCCCAAAAACAACTCCGGAGGCCCACCGCCCTACGTTGCGAACCTCAACCTCCGACCCCGAAGCCAGATACAAGAGTTTTGGGTTTGGGGGGGTTTAGGGTTTAGGGTTTAGGGCCCGAAACCAGATACAAGAGTTTAGGGTTTTGGGGGGTTTAGGGTTTAGGGGTTTAGGGAAGAACCAGCCAGCAAAAAGCACCCAGCACTCTCAAAAAGGCCTTCCCTTTCCAATGCCGGTCGGCGATTCTGAGTCTATGGAAATCTTCGAGCGTGTCTTGGCAAAGCCTTAACAAAATCAAAGTCTTCGAGTTACTACTTCCTAATACTCCCTGCTCCTCCTACTGGCCCTGCTCCTACTCCTACTCCTACCCGATTATTACCCCTACTCTCCTGCTCTGATGCTGTTGCTGATGCTGGTACAAGTAATACCGTTAACAGTACTCACAACATCAATGCGCATTTTGCACGAGTCGGTCCATGGATGCAAATCTGCAGAAACACGTCGTCACTTCAACGCCAACATCTATCCGGAAATCCAAGCCTGACATCTGCGCGACCCTAAACCCTAAACCTTAAACCCTAAACCAACATGATGAATAAGAAGCACTAACCCAGAGCTTAGGCTTAGAGCGCCGGATGCAGCCATTGCTTTTGCAGGCGGAGGCCGTTCGCTGTCCTCGGTCTAAAGCCAAAAGCTATTTATTTGTAACCTCGAAGACACACCTGTTTCTGGAAGGTAGCAAGCTCACGAGCAGGATTTGTAGATGTAGTTAGTTTCTTTGGGCTGCACGTTCTCGGAACCTGCAGGCCCCGTAAGTTTAGCTTGTTGCTCGTGGTTTGTGTAAGACCGAACTCGCAGTATTGTAAAAATGCCAAGTGCTATGCCGCAAACTCGCAACCTCCGTGACCCCGTGAGCTATACTATAGGGGCCTTAATGATGACCAACACTATTTGGGTGGTTCCTTATTATATTTATAGCACAACATAGGTAAGCCCAAAAAGAAACTACAATGGAGCCAATGGGTAGTTCCTAAACCCTAGCCCTGAAACCGTTCCTAACCCTTGGATCCCAAACCAGAAGCCCAAACTAATCAAGAGCAACACCAGGGTTGACGGGTTAGGGGTTTAGGGCTTTAGGGGTTTAGGGCTCTAGTGGTTTAGGGGTTTCGAGTTTAGTGTTTGCGGTTAAGGTTTACCATGACGGTGTTACTTTCATGTACGTGTTTAGGGTTCTTTATGGGGATCGATTTGGGGTTGAGGGTTTCAGGGTTTGGGGATTAGAGAAACCCTAAACCCTAAACCCTAAATCCCAAACCCTAAATCCTAAACCCTAAACCCCTAAACCGTCTAAACCCTAAACCCTAAACCCTAAACCCTAAACCCACGGACTCCTTGACATCTTCTGCCTCCGAGCATCGAAACCCCCAAGTTCGGGCGAACAGCGGCTTGGGGCTTCGGGGTTGAGGCTTTGTACCTTTTTGGTGGGGTTTCTGCTTTGGAGGTTGAAATACGGTTTAGGGTTTAGGGAGTTTAGGGAGTTTAGGGAGTTTAGGGTTTAGGGTAATATAGAGGCTTGAATAACTGCCGATCTAGTATTTTTGGTGGGGTTCCTTTTGATATTTAGTGTATCATGTACCCCCACACCCTGTTCTTGTTTAAATTCGGCCCCGATCTTACCTTCTCGTTGGGTTTCTGCTTTGGGGAATAGGGGTTTGGGGGGTTCAGACTAAGCTCTAAAGCCTAAGCCGCCTTTGAGAGCAGGAGCTTGCCAGAGAGGCGCTCGCAGGGCGATGCTTTGACGCTTCCAAACCAACGGCGAGGCAGGAAACCGACAGGATTGAGCACCACGGTGTGGGGTTTCGAAGCCTCTGCGGACATGAAAGCCCTCTCTGAGTTTCACAAATCGTAGAACGCTGCTCGTGATCTTGGTTGCGGTTGTTTTTGTCGGTGACTTGCTGTGCTACGAGTGGAGCGATGTGCGAGTTTCAGGGATTTTCCCCTACACCTCTCAACCCCGGGGCTGCATTTAAGGTTTAGCTTCAGAAAAGGCAGCAACAGATGAAACAGCAAGAGAATAATGATGGTGGCCCGAACTACTTCTGGCAGCATGAGCGGTCGTGGCGACAATGACAAGTCATCGCAGTAGCAGCGAGGGTATCCTTTAGCAAACTAGTGACGAACAACATCATCACCACCTTCATCTCCATCATGTGCCCATACAGATTATGATGACGCGGAAGAAGAAGAGAATGATGATCATGATCAGCAGCACCACTACTGTCGTTATCATCACATTCACCACCACCACCACCACCACCACCACCGCTGCCGCCGCCACCACAACCCTCACCATGCGGGTCATCATCATCATCACCACCGTCATCGTCGTCATTACCATAATCACCATCATTACCACCATCCCCTCGTTGGCGCCGTCAGTGGCACCGCCGTCACCAGCCAAGATGTGCAGCATGCCAGTTTGTCAAAAGCAGTAGTAGCAGACGTGTCACGAGAACAAGTCGTGGGTCGGATCGAGCTCGATCGAGTTTCCAAGCTTGGCAACAGTTGAAGGCGCAGAAGAGGCCGTGAGGTGCGCAGCTGTTCACTGACACTCATCAACACTGGGCCACAACCTCTGCGACTAGTGCCACCACTACCATCACACAAGCAATTGCTGCTGCAACGGGAGCAGAGTGCAGAAGCCAAGACTAAACAAACACATTTGTTCATAAGGACCCTTAGGGTGGGGGGGGGAGGGGGGTAGTGGACTATACTCCCTTTTTTATAGGCCTTATTGGGTCCTTATTACCGGTATTAAGGCCCCTACCCCCCTTCTCCCGTAACCCTCCTAAGGGTCTTTATGATCTGTCCTTTCGCGCAGAAGATCGTCATGTTACCACTCTTGCTGTCCCGGAATGTCAGTGAAACATGATAACCTTAAGCCCTGAAGCGCTCTGTTGACAACTTCCCACTGTGTTCCCAAAGCCCTGCCGACTTCATGTCAAATCTAGAGGTCGGAATGCTTAGTAATACCATTCCTTATAAATGGGAGTTTCTGAAAACAGGGACCCTAAATAGTAGGACTAATGTTATAAGGACCCCAAAATAAGGTACCCTAATTGTTGGAACCTCCCAAATATCATAAGACTACAATCTTGCGCCGACAAAACCCCTATTCTAGTTTCTTAAAACTGCTATATTGCTACCCACCCTTCGAAGTTTGCCTTTACGGGTTTAAGGGCTTAGGGTTCCCGAAACCCTCAGCCCCAAGAGGTTGGCAAGGGTCTAGAAGTTTGGGGTTCAGGGTTTAGGGTTTGGCGGTTTGGGGTTTAGGGTTTAGGGGGGTTCCCTACACCCTCTTTAAACTTCGGTGGATCCGAGGAACTCTGCAAGGCTAGGTTTCAGGTTTCGGTGTGTTGGTGTGGGATTGAGGGTTTAGGATTTATGGTGTGGGATTTAGGGTTTAGGGTCTAGGGTGTGGGATTTAGGGTTTCGCGCTTGGGTAGCTGGTAGCTTGGTATGAGGGCTGGCATCCATTGAAATGCCTTGATATAACTATACCGAATCCGGTTCTAATTGCTAAGGCCCTTTTGTCAGTTGCAGTGTTCAGCGTTAAGGACCCAACTAAACCCTAAACCTTAAACCTTTTGCTGGCTACGGGGTTTAGACTTGCTAAAGCCTACACAATAAACCCTAAACCCTAATCCCCTAAACCTAAACCCTAAAACCCTAAACCCCTAAACCCTATACCCCCAAACCCCTAAACCCTTAACCCTAAACCCCTAAACCCTATAAACCCCTCAACCCCTAAACCCTGAACCCTGAACCCTTGAACCCTAAACCCCTAAACCCTAAACCCGATAATTACTCCCGGTGGCTCCTGCCCTCCACGCCGGAGGCCGTTTGAGCCAGGGAGAAAGGGGGCACCGTCGCGCTGCGATAGAGCTTCTTCTGAACTTAACATTCAGAGTTTTAGGGCTTATAAGGGCTAAGTGTGGGGTCTATAGGGTTTAGGGTTAGCTAACGGAAAAGTCGTCTTGCCTGCTTTCTTTTGCCATGTGTTGGGGTTCCGTATCTTCTGAAGCACCTAAAACAGCTTTGCAACCTTGGGAAACTGATTGCTTTAGTATTAGTTGCAGACGCAGCAAGCCTAGAGCCATCTGACCGTTGATCGCGAAGCCTGGTGAAGGTGTTACGAGTTTCGAAGATTTTGTTGGGGTGCGCTTCGTGTACTTGAGAAGAATGACAATTCCCTCACACGGGGGAGTCACGCGACCGGAAGTTCAAAACCCTACCCACCGGCTTAGGTGTGAGCGAGCATCCGCCACAAACTTCAACGGGGGAGGCCCTTAACCCGAACCTCAAGCCCCGAAGCAGATTTGGCCTTCCAAACATTGCAGGAGCCTGTTGTTGAGCTTCGTTGGGACTAGAAGTTAGTAATATAGGGTTCTGGGTTTAGGGTTTAGGGTTTAGAGTTTAGGGTTTAGGGTTTAGGGTATTGATGTCAAGGCGCATGTTTGAACGAAGACATCTTGGACGAGCGAGAGCACCTGGATGAGCACTGGATGCTGGAGGAGAGGGTTGCAGGTCACGCAACTTCTGCCCGTAAGACGAGAGTGTACAACAACTCCTCATCTTCGACTTCAAGTCCTAAAGCCTATACCCTAAACCCTCTTTGGTTCCTGTATCGTTGTGATGTAATCGAGCCTGCGGCCCTGGAGACTTAGGATTCGAGTTTTCAACAGCCTCGGAAACGGTGTTGTAGCAGGGCCTCACAAGCTAAAACCCAAGGATGTGAATGAAATATACCGGACGATGCCGACATGCCAATACGAGAGTATGGGCCTAGATAGGGGCGAACCGCTAAGACTGCGCAGCTCCGAGTTAAAGTTTGCTTTTGCGACGAGCCCTAAACCCTAAACCCTCAATCCATGGGCATGGAGTGACCGCAGCTGTGCATCGCTGTGCTTTGAAAACTCTGGCTGCAGCACGAGATCTTCCAGAGTGGGCAACCTTTACCCTTTCTGTGTTTCTAGGGTTGATGATATAAATCCTGCATCACCCATAATAAGGAATATACCAGAATTCCCATAGTTTAGGTCCTTAAGTTTAAGGTAATGCAGGATTTATATCATCAACAGTATGACCCCTATATACCCCTAGGATACTGGACAAGAGATGCAGGACCGCTTCGAAGATCAGAACCAACGGTTCCAGCAGCGGCTGAAGGATGCAGACGCACTGCAGCAGAGGCTGTGGTTCCGGGTTTAGGGTCAGTAGTGGAGGGTTTGGGGTTTGTGGAGGATTTGGGGTTTACACGCTCGAAGCTGGGTTCAGATAATATACCGCGGATTGAGCGCGAGAGCCAGAAAGACGGAGATCAAAGAGTGACGAAGCGAGAGAGAGAGAGAGAGAGAGAGACAGAGAGAGAGAGAGATAGACAGAGAGAGCGATAGAGAGAGAGAGAGGCGAGAGCGAAAGCGAGAGACGGAGAGGGAGGCAACAACAGAGAGAGCGAGAGAGAGCGCAAGAAACAGCCGGAGAGAAACAGAGAATGTTGCCGAGACAGCTGTTTTTGCGACACTAAACCCTAAAGTCATGTACACGTTAGAATTTTGATGAAGTGGTAATCTTAATCTTACTTCCTCGCGGCGCATATGTAAGCATGCTGTGCTATATACGAAAACCTTGTGAGCATGCCTAGCATCTCCGAATGAGGCTCGGCATCCTAAGTTTCAACAGGGCGCCCCGGCCGTCTCTTCGGTGCAAAGACGGACACGTGTGGTAGGGGGATAATGTAGGGGCCTAGATAATTACCTATACTAGTTTGGGGATGTTTGGGGGTTCTGTATTATAGTTATATTATAAAGGGCCCCAAAACCCTATTCCAATTATCCTACATTAGGGAGGGTTGGAAACCTTGTTGAGGTGAGCTTGGTCAGATGCAGCCTGTTAGGAGTCTGTGACGGACATTGTCTGTTCTTGGGAGTTTACTGCAACAATTGCAAGCAATCCGAGAAGGGAAGCAAATTTCAACACAACGTCCGCATCAGGCCTAATCAGCATGCTAAAGCCTATACCCTAAACCCTAATTCCGAATCAGCCATCCCCCTTTTCCTGCAGGTGCCAAAGAATTGTCGAATCACTGACAGCACTCAAGCGCGGTGCCTCAGAAGACGACCACAAGTTGTCAATTGGAGATGCTTCCGAGGCTAAGTGACATTCCTGTCTGCAACTTGCAGGAAGTTCGCCAAATGCTGGTCTAAACCCCTAAACTCTAAACTGGCGAAAACCCTAGGAACCCAACCACAGCCACAACAACATGCTCGATCCCCTGACTACGGAACAGTGTGTTAATGTAGGTCGATGGCCACGTAGGTGGGCAGGCAGGTGGGAAGGTATGTAGGCAGGTACGCAGGCACGTAGGTACGTATTTGTGTTTTCTTATTTGATTGTTTGTTTGTGTTGTTGCTTCGTTGTACTGCATGTATAAATTAAGTACCACTATATATGAAGCGTATACCGCCTCTCTCTCTCTCTCTCCTGTACATGTATACATATATATATATATATATGTGTATGTACATAAAAATCAGAAATATATACACATACACACATACACACCTACATACATACATGCATGCATACATACATACATATGTATATACAGATGTTTTAATGATTATGTGTCATTTGTGTGTTTGCTTATGTGTCTGTTCCGTGTGTTTGCCTGTTTGCTTGTTTGTTGTTGTGTTTATGTGGTTGCTTGTTTTTGTTGTTTGTGGTTGCTAGCTTGTTTGTTTAAACATTCATACATACGTGTGTATATGTTCCTATCCATGTACATACATACATATGTATGTATATATGTATGCATGTACGTATGTATGTACGAGTGTATGTATGTATGTATGTATGTATGTATGTATGTATGTATGCATGGAGGTAGGTAGGTAGGTAGGTAGGTAGGTAGGTAGGTAGGTAGGTAGGTAGGTAGGCGCATAATGAAGACATATGAACCTCCATGCTCCGAAATATCCGGTTCATGTCCTGATCAGAGCCTAGGACGTGTAGTGCTTTGGGAGGAGGTTTGGGAAGCCCACTTCCGAACCCAGAACCTGACGTAGAGTTTGGGGTTTAGGCCCCAAGCCCTAAACCCTAGCAAGCCCCTAAACCCTAAAACCCTAAACCCTAAACCTAAACCCAAAACATTAAGCCTTAACCCTAAACCCTTTATAAGCCCCAAACCCTGAAGATGCATATGGCAGTGTATGCCAGTCTCACCTCACCTCGCACCATACGCAGGCCGGGGGTTGAGAGCTTCGGATTCATTCTGCCCCCTTGGGCCCTGGTAGTAAACCTTCGAAGCCTTTGAAGGAGCTCCCTAAACCCTGAACCCTGAAC